CAATCTCATTGTGAGGATAGGGACCCATTTCATCTAATTTTATGAGAATGGTTCTCAATGAAAGAATTAAGTATACATTGTAGCTATAAGATATGAAAATCCAATGGCCAAAAAACCAAACATTTACATTAACGGTAATGTGAATATTATTCTCCCCCCTCTACCCATGGGCCACATCCACCCAGTCCCATCTCTCTCTCTCTCTCTCTCTCTCTCTCTCTCTCTCTCTCTCTCTTTCTCTCTCTCTTACACATACATAATTGTAGCTCGACCATACCATCGACGACAAGGTCCCACTGGCGAGTTCAAGATGGTTAAGACCTCTGACCTCACCATGTCTGATGGATTAGATAATTAGTTTAGTTGTTTCCTTGCAGACAGAGAACGCGACAGAGTTGGAGTCGCTCTCAAGCTACATGGACGATTCGTATTCCTTTCTTCCACCAAAAGAAATCGCTAAAGCTGCCGCGGATATCGGCGCAACTGGATTCCACTACAGGCCACGAAGCAAACGCTTTTGTCTGTCTATCTCCCCCCCTTTGTAAATTCCATCTCAATATGTGGCGGCGTGAGGAATGGTGAGAATCTTGCCGGGAGCGGCGCGGTGCAAGAAGTCGAGCGTCGATTGACATGACGATGGGGCAGATGACCGAGAAGAGGGACAACTTGGCCCTTGCAGACAACCAGGAAGGCGGACGACGCGACCATGAACGAAAAATTTGCAATTTGGATTTTGGGCCTTATTTTGAAAATTTGATGAGTCCATAGAATATAGCTGCAATTTCAAATATTTCAATATATTGCAATTTAATTCATGGGTCAAATATGATATTTATCAAAATTTTAATATATGCATGAAATGATGAGTAAAATGCACAATATTGCATGTGGATATGCACATTAAAAATACCCGCGCGACATAATGTACAATATTGTTAGACTAAATGCATAATAGTCCTTGTGAGAATACACATTAGCCTAACAGTGTATTAATTTTGCACAATGACGAAAATACCTGCGCATGAAAAACCAAAAGTACACATCATTATAGCACTGCCACTGCTAGAGCCTTTGACAATGTCTGGAGTGTTGGTATCACATCCGACCATTACGATCCATTATTTTTTCTTTCACTATCACTCGTTTTCATTTGATCATACACACACACACACATGTATATACACACACATACACGCGCGACTACTTGTACTGTCTTTTTTTTTTCGAAACAATAGATAATTTTATAAAAAAGCACAAATGTGCAAAGACCAGCCAGCATGCTGAATACAACCAGCCAATAGCTGAATACAAAAGCCAACAACTGAAAAATTGATAGGACAGGTCAATGACCACCTAGAGCCGACCCCAAAAGGGTAATAAAAACAAACACAAAAAACATAAACAACACAACACAATACAAAGACCCCAACAGAGTAATACCCGAGTGTCAGACCCCAACAGGGTAATAATGTGACACTCGGATTCACAGTGGCCAACGGCCCAGACCTAAAAAACACGACAAACCCAAACACAACAACAAATAACAACAAACAAAAGCACAAACTAAAAAGCCAAATCAAAATAATAAACTAGCCCTTCCTAATCTGCTACACCTAACCAAACCAGCAAACACAAGTCAACCATGAAACTCGAAGCAAGAAGCACCGACCCAAAACTGCCAAAACCACTCGGTTGCCTAACGGATTCGAAACCTCAACCCCGAAATCAAAGCGTGTTGACCCGCACCACGGCCCCAACACCAATTTTTTTCTGAAAAAGCAAACAAAGTGCCACGACCCCAGCCCGACCCCAAATCGCCTGGAAGCTGCTCAAAAACCACCACACCACCTTAGAAACACCCCGACCAACACCACTGGAGGATGAATTGAAATGCCAGACCCTGAGGAACGGAAACCCGAGACCAGAGGAGTGACCATGAGCACCTTCGCAGCCCTAGTCGCACAGCAAGACAAATCGCTGAGCAATTGAGCCGCTTCCCGCCCCGAAACTGCACAGTGGCTCCACCACCTCACGACCGAGCAACCCCCAATCTGAATTTACGGATCGACGTCGGATCGACGAAAACCGTTCGCAACAGACGAGAGCTCGATCAAGAAAAAATAAGAGGCAGAGCAGGAGAATAGGGGCGGGAACCAAGCGGGTAGAGGTCGGCGACCGCCGGCTAAGCGAGGTGGATGATGAGGAAGGCAGATGACGCAGATCTGGAGGGTTTCTGGTTTTTTCTTTTCTTTCGCAGAGAAAAGAGAGGAAGGGTAAAAAGATAGAAAGATGAATAGTATACTTGTGCAATAAAATGAAACGACTACTTGTACTGTCATTTTATAAATATATATTTTTGAGTTTAAGGGGATGTATTCGTTCGGATGACGTAATCTTACTGATTTTGTCGATTTCTTTTTTGTTTTCCACATTGTTTATATAAAATAATTATTATATACTTATATATAGAAAAAATATATATTTAAGTAATTCTAATTGAAAATTATTAATTCAATAATTTATCTATCAAATTTATAATATAGTATGATTTAGTAATAAATATGACAAAATAGAAGGAGCAAATCTTATATGTAGAGATCCAAAAACTGGCGCCTAACATGCTTTATATTTAACTCCCGTAAGCATGGGATTTCTCTCTCTCTCTCTCT